GCGAGGCGAAGGCCTCAAAGGCCGCCGAGGACACCTTGGTCGTGCGGTTGCCGCGGTACAGCTTGTGGTGGAAGAAGAGGCCGACCTCGGGGATGACAAAGGTGCCCGCGAGGATGAGCGACCCGAGCAGGTTGTCGACGGCGTCGGACTGCAGCGCAAAGATGGGCGCCTGCGACCCGGTGAGGATGACGGGCTTGCCCAGGTTGCTCATCATGAAGGAGAGCGCCGACGCCGTGTACGCGAGCGAGTCGGTGCCGTGGAGGATGACGAAGCCGTCGAAGAGGTGGTAGTTGTCCTTGACGCACGCCGCCATGCTGGCCCAGTCGGCCGCCGAGATGGACGAGCTGTCGAGGAGGGGGGTGAATTCCAGCACCGAGTAGCGGATGTGTCGGTGGTAGGCCGTGGGCGGCGTGCGGAGGGACGCCAGGGAGGTGAGTTGGCCGTCTTGGTAGGCTTGGAGCTTGACTGTTGGGTGGTGATGATGTTAGTATCGTGTCATGTTGGGGAATGAGTGGTGTTTTTTGAGCAAGAATGAAAGAGTAGACGTGTGTTAGGTCATCAGAGGGGATGCGTAGTCTGTGAGAAGAGCGCAACACATGGACAAGGGACAGGTGAGAACGAACCATCCAGCCCTGACATGTCGTTAAAGCTCGGCCGAGGCGCCATGGCCGTCTCCAGAAAGTCCTCGCTGGGGGCGAGCCCGTCTGGCCCTTCTTGCATGCATATCGTGCCTCCGGTGCCGATGATGAGGACGCGCGACTCGGGCAGGCCCGCGGCGGTCGTGTCCATAGTCTGCGACGGCGACATGCTGGCCAAGGACGAGGGCCGAGTGAGGAAAGTCTGCGTGTATCTTGTCAGCCGTGTGTCCCGAGTATATTGGGCGACGGGATGGAAGGGAACGTCGTGCAAAGTACCTCTCACACCGTATCAGACAAGCGTATTGCAGGATGTTTTCTGTATAAAGACACGACGTGTGCCCGAGTATGCAGAAATGGGACGGGTGGTGTGCGCCGTGAAGTGAAGCGCAAAGGTGCTGTTTATATACGAGGGCGGTTAGACGCCACCGAGAGCCACAAGACGAAAAACGGATGGGGTGGAAGGAGGATTGTAAGAGGGAATCGAAAACAAAAACGAGCGAATCTGGATAAACAGCATGTCCAACGCTGTAGCCGCAGTCACATATCGAAAAAGAGAAAAACGAGATGCGCATCCGAGTTGAGAAGATAAGATAACTACATACATGGCAGACTAGTAGTTCCGACGACGGACCCTAGAGGCGGCGCGGAGCCAAGCGGGCCCCCCGACGGGCACGGCATGCGTCGGGATTGGCTGATGCCAGGGCGAAAAGTCCCGGTTTATTTAGTCATAGCTGGATGGTGATTCGCTGCTGCAGTTTAGTAGGGGTAATGGAAACTCGGGGCGCGAGAGCTGGTGTAAATTGGTTGAATTTTTCTTGTTGGCTGCTTGCGTGTTGCGGCGAGACGGCGAGACGGCGGGCGGTCTGGACTCATGCCGTGTTCGTTCAAGGGCGACGGGATTGTCATTGTATCACCATGGTGTGTTGGCGTATCTTGTCTTGTAGGCTGTGAGAGTTGTCATTGCTGAGGTTATTATTCATAATGGTGTTTGCGGTGCGGTTGACATAGTTGTTGCATTGCATTGCAGATAGAGATTATGCAGACGTGTCCGTCCACGACTGACTTGGGCAAGAGACAAGGCTGGTGTCAAACAGACGCACATTGGCCAGGTGGGCAAGTCGAGCTCATTCAGCTCTGCAAACCCGGCACATCGAGTGGCGTAGTACAGAAAAAAAAAGTGACATGTCCTGGAAATAAATCATATCATGACGCAGCATGCGCGAGCTCGCAATTACGGCATTGTGCACCTACGTCACTGTGTGCCGGGATTCGTGATGCAGCTGGCGTTGATGTGCATGGATAACCGAGATTGGGACGTCAGGTCGCTGTTGGTGTCGATGCGGGGCCGGACGGGACATTCGAGCTGTCGAGTCTGTCTGTCAATTCAATGTTTGAATTTGAAGTCCGAGTCCAGAAGTCGTCGGTGCATTTAGCGCCTGCTTGCCAGTGGCATCTCGAGGCAAGGCTGCTGCACGTGCGGCCTTGGTGCACTGAAGCAGCCTGGAACACCCGCACATACACCCGTAGTGCCCAATCATATTCCAAGTTCAGCTAACAAAGGCAAAAGTGATCAAGTGCCCAATCATTAAGTACTCAGCTCACAAAGGCAAATGATACCAGAAAATACCTTATCCCGGCCCTATTTAGGTGCCACTACAGGTACTTTCTAGTACCGACATCTCCCCTCCGTCCAAGCCCATCCTCAACTTTCGCCCTTCCAATCCATCAACCTCAAACTCGTATCATCACGCCGTCCTCGGCTGCTCGAGCCCAACCGATCCGCAACCCCCGTCCCACCATCGCAGCACTGTCTCCGAATCGATCCATCATTCCCAACTCGCGTCCATCTCGTGAGCCAGACGCACCGCTGCAATGCTAACCTGAGTCGCTTGTCCCTCCAACTCGACGCGTCGCCCGTCGGTAGACGACTGACTCCTCCTTCATTGCTTGAATCAACCTCCCAACTGGCTTTATTCGCTTTATTCTACTGCCCACCATGGATCGGCCTCCAGAGACTACGCCCGACGGCACCTCGCCGCGGACCTTTGCCCTCAATCATCTCAGGCCCAAGCACAGTTTCCAAGGCTGTTCGCGCATCTCCGATTACGAGCTACAGGGGAAACTGGGAGAGGGAACATTCGGGTACGCATCATACCGTCGGCTGCGCGCCATGTCAGATGGTCTGCGGTAGAGTCGACAAGAAGCTGACACCCTCACCAGTGAGGTCCATCGCGCTCGATCGAAAAAGACGGGTGCCCTCGTCGCGCTCAAGAAAATTATCATGCACCACGAAAAGGACGGAGTATGCAACCGACATGCCATTCAACGCCATCATTCAACCGTGGAAATGCTAACCGTCATTCACCTTGTCAGTTTCCCATCACCGCTCTTCGTGAGATTAAGCTCCTCAAGTTGCTTTCGCACAAGAATATCCTGAGGTTGGAGGATATGGCTGTCGAGCATCCATCTCGATCAAGTGCGTTACCACAAAGCGCGGCCTTGGCAATGACCCCAGCCAACTAACCTCTGCAAACAGCCGACAAGCGAAAGAAGCCAATCATGTACATGGCCACTCCCTACATGGACCACGACTTGTCTGGCTTGCTGGACAATCCCTCGGTCCATTTCAAAGAAGCCCAGATCAAGTGCTACTTGAAGCAGCTCCTACAGGGACTTTGCTACCTCCACGACAATCACATTCTCCACCGAGACATGAAGGCCGCCAATCTGCTAATAGATAACCATGGCATTCTGCAAATTGCCGATTTCGGTCTGGCCAGGCACTACGATGGCCCTACGCCGCATGCTGGACGACCAATGGGCGAGGGACGTCGCGATTACACAGGCTTGGTCGTGACAAGGTGGTATAGGCCGCCCGAGTTGCTGCTACAACTCAGACAGTACACAACTGCTATTGACGTGTGGGGTGTCGGGTACGTCTTTGATGCCTCGGATAATGAAAAGCGGCCACACACTAACTAGCAAACGCTTCTAGCTGCGTATTTGGGGAAATGTTGGTTGGGAAGCCCATCCTCGCAGGCGAAAGTGATCCGCACCAGCTTGAGCTGATATGGGACCTGATGGGCTCACCGAATGACGACGTGATGCCCGGGTGGAAACAACTTCCCGGTGGGGAGAAGTTGACACCCCGACCTCGACCTGGAAACCTGCAGAGTCGGTTCAGAGAGTATGTCATTCCCCCAAGTAGAAACAGAATTGTGCCAGCATCCAGCGACTAATCAGACCTAATAGGTTTGGGTCTGGCGCCATTTCGCTACTCAAGGAACTCATGAAACTAGACTGGAGAACACGAATCAACGCCGTGGATGCCTTGGAACACTCATATTTTAAAATGGCACCGCTTCCAATGGCGCCTGAAGAGATTCCCACCTATGAAGAGAGCCATGAGCTGGACAGGAGAAAGTTTCACGACCGGAAAGCCAATTTACCACCAGCCCCAAAGGGTGGCACCGTGGGTATTGGCTCCGACGCAAACAACGCCACGGCCGGCTTCAACAGTGGCGATGGATATGGCCGAAGCGGTGTTAACGGCGGTCGGTATAGAGACGAACGCCGGCCAGCATGGCAACGAGATAGAGGGCCTCAAGGCCGGCCGCCACCGCAGGACAGACCAGGTAATAGAGATGACCCCGAATACAGGAGGAACCGTCCCCCTGGGAGAGGGCCAGGCGGTGGAGGCGCAGGAGCAGACATTGATACCTACATACCCGCGTATAGGGGCGACGAAGGAGGCAGACGGAGAGATGAGCGCCCTCGCGATGACCGAAGGCGATATACCGGAAAGGATGAGCGATGGGATCGAAGGACGAGGAGTCGAAGTCGGTCGCCGGTTCACGATAGGAGGATGGACCGGGACATGTACAGACGGTAGGGGTGTTTCTTTTGATAATATTCCGACGTGGCCTGCACTGGCGATGCGCAAGACGGGAAAGCACCGCACAAGTATGCAGATTGACTGGCGTTGGAACAGGAATGGGCGGATGGTTTACAAGAAACACAGGAATATCTGCATAGAATTATTGTGTAGTCGTATGGAGTTGGCATGATGTATATAGCGAGCAAGACATGACGAACGAGACGAGGGCGGTCAAATTCAGTGAGTAATTGTCTGCGGTGATGCATCGGAATCATGAAGAATACTTTGACCGTGCTACGAGGTAGAAATAGTCAAGTACATTATGATTAGCGTTAATGCAGAGGCTGAAGAACTAAATCGGGGTATCTTGGTAGAAAAGAAAATACAAGCGCTCTAGACGCGATGCCCAGCCGTTCGGTCCCAGGGTTATAAAAAGTTAAAAAAGACACAGTGATATTTGCCCGCCAGTCATACGTAATGGCAAATCACTCCTCGGAATCATCCTCCTCGAGAATCGTCTCCGTCTGCAGGCCCGACACGCGCCTTAGCCTCGCGGGCGACTGTGCCGTGTCCGCCCAGTGCCAGTCTGGCTCGAGGCCCTGCGGCTCCGGTCGGAGATACTGCTGCTCCAGGTATACCTGCTTCCTGTGCGACCGCCTCCTGTGCGACGATGCATCCTCCGGCTCGTCCTGCATGTTGAAGTACGTGGTCACCACGGCGGACGCGACGGCCACGAGGATGCCGGCGACGACGCCTATGAATGCTGCTACGCTGAACTATGCGGCCCTGGGTGTTAGTTGGCGCGACTGGGGGGCGGAAACTTGGGCACGTACGAATGTGTACAGGGGCTGGAGCGAGTTAGTTTTTTTTGCGCGCATATATGATGATGATGGTGAAGAGGGGATGGAAACGGACCTCTAGGCTGACGAGGAAACGGGCGACGGCGGCCGCCCAGCTGCCTAGGTAGGCGAGCACGTAGCCCGCCGGGGCGAGGAGGGTGGTGACGAGGGCCAGGAGGCGGGAGAGCGGGATCCAGGCCAGGCGGAGGGGGAGCGAGAGCGCGGCGGTGATGAGGCCGAGGTAGCGCGTCCAGTTGAGTGACCGGATGGGCTGGAGGATGTGGACGATGGTGTCGATGAAGGACGAGGACGAGGACTCGGGCATGGCTGCGGACGGAGGGGTTGTTTTGTTTTTGCAGACTTTGTGTCGCGGACACGGGTGGGCGGGTTTACAAGCCGTGCATTGGAAGGGCGTGAGCGGGTTTTCTTTTTCTTCTCTTCTTTCTTTTGGCAGTGAGTGAGTGAGTGAGTGAGGATGGCTCGGATGATGCGAACCGTGAGAGGATGTACGTACATAGGGCTGGTTCCTGGATGTGCTGGGCTGGTTGACCGGGGTGGTTGGATTTGCGGAGGGAAGGTGCGGCTGGGTCCGGGGGTGGCTGCTGCTGTGAGATGGCCGGATGTCGAGGGGATTGAGGGAGCGGAGTCGGGGGAATGTGGTGAGGCTGCAAAGACGTGACTTGTGAGGGTGTTTACAAGGATTTTCTTTGCAATTTACGACTTGATTCATGTTTTTGGGAGGCTGCACTTTGAGTGTTTGTATATTTTGTCTTGCATTCAAAGCTGTTCGTGCCGGCCTTGACGACGCCAGCGTTGCACTTCTCGAATGGGCGAATCATGGCGTCCGGGGAAACAAACGCCGCACAGCCGAGCTGGCCTCATGCTCAAACTCGCACCATTACTCGACACCAATTGTCTTTGGGATTCGCTCTGACTGCCGCAATTGCCATTGACGCACATGAGGTCGTAGCCACTTGGCGAAATGGGGCTAGGAACCCTTTTCTCAAGCGGAACCCAGTCTCCTGATGCTGAAGACGCCCGTCAATCCGGCGACAACTCGCCATCGTCACACAGCGGCGTCTCCCGAAAACGCAAGAATGAACAAGACCACCCGCCTTCAAAAGCACCACGTATAGAAGCCCTAAACGCCACTTCTGTAGACTCGGATTCCCACTGGCAATCAATCGCCTTCTTCCACGAGGTCATTGCCAATGCGCCGCACGCGTCGTCAAAGTACTCGTCGTTGAATGATGAGCAGAAACTCATCCTGGCGCTGGGCGCGCGCAACCTCTTCCTGGCAACATGTCGGAGCGGGTCGGCACGCGAGACGGACAAGAAGATCCTGGAGAGGATGGTTGATCTGCTGGACGGGGACAAAGACCCGGCGTTTGTGGGCGGGTTGAGTGTGTCGTTTTATCCATCCAGGGGCTATACCGTGTTGAAGTATATCGAGGACTTGGATAGGAAGGTCCGTAATAAAGGTGTCAACCATTTCGCGCAAGTCATGAAGACGCCGCGATTGTTTGCTGTCTTTGTGAACCCGGCCGAGTTGTCGTATCACAATTTTGAGAACATTGTCCCGCTGGACAAGTGGGTTGAGGGGAGAATGGGGATGCGGCAGGCCGAGGCTGTGGATGGGATGGACTTGGGGCTGACGAGTGTTGAGCGGCTGGGACGGAATAAGGAGGTGTTTACTGCCGTGTTGGAGGGAGGACAAGGCAAGTTGTTGAAGGAAATTTCTGGCCTGTCGCTGTATGTTGCCCCCCTGAACAGGGGCACACGCGGAGGCGAACGCTTTATATTCCATTCTGCCATCCTGAGCGAGGTGCTCACACGGGCTGTCAAGACGAGTGGGCTTCTGGACGTGGTTGGAGATGGGGAGTTGGGCGATTCGTTCGAGTTTGTCAACTACGTCTTCCGGAGTAACAAGTTTGCTCCGGAGGACGGCAACTTTGAGAATCACTTGGACACGCCTTATTACGACAGGGCGAGAAACCACGTCTCCAGGTACACGCTGCTTGTCTATCTCTCTTCCGGGCAGAACACGCCGCTTCTCCGCGTTCAGGACGTGGATATAAACCGTGTCGAAGAAATGACGTGCGTGATATTTGACCAAAGGTACGAGCACGAGGGCCGGCCCTTTATCCAGGGAGACAAGGTTTTTCTCCGGACGGAGCTTATTTTCAAAGACGAGAATTTGAAGCGAGACGACAGAATCTCGCAACCTTTTAGCACGGCGTGCTACATGACGGGACAGGGTCTCTTGGATAAGCAACTGGCTTCGTACGCACACGAGTGCTTTGAGCGGGCGAATTCTCTGCACTGGTCTCTGGACAAGGCTGTTTCCGAGCCCGTCTATCTTCTGAAGCAGTTCCACGGACTTGGCTTCATGACAAATGGGTACAACTACTGGTTTCCGAAATGCGAAAATATGAATCTCAAAGACTACGCGGCCATATCGGTCCTGGACTACTTCAACTGCAAAATCGGCAAGCAGCCCTTCCGATCCCTCGCCGACTCTACCACCGTCAAAGAGCGGTTCGGCTCATCGGCCGACGTGTGGAAATACCTCTCCGCGCGGCGCCCCAGCAAGACGACCCCGTTGCGCCGCCTTGAAAAGCCAGACCTTGACAGCCTAATCAAGCGAGCCCCAGACGAGCCTTTTGTCGGGCTCCAAGACGAAGGCGGGCACGACCGCGCCGAGCCCAAGGGGGATGTCGAAAACCCATGCTGCTTCACGCACACGCACCCGCTCTTCAACCCCTGGAAGAGCAGGCACGTCATGGACATGTACGCCAAGTGCGGCAACTACACGCGCGGCAAGCTCCTCTGCGCGCCCATCATGATGCTCGACAACGAGGTTATTCTCAACGAAGAGAATATCCAGGTTGCGGGGAACACGGTTCACATCCTGCAGGACGTCAACAAGGAGGCCCTCCCGCCGCTCAACTTTGCGGCCTGCTGGAGCGGCGCGCCCATGCCCGAGGCCTTCATCACGCTGGACAGGGAGGTTCCGGTGCCGAGGCTGCTCGTGCCGCCGATCCAGTGGCACGAGTTTGAGCAGGGGTTCGAGCTGGTCGTTGACTTTTTCCGCAACGACTGGATGGTGCGCGTCGACGGGGCGAGGGTGGTGCCCGTGCCGCGCGTGACGGAGAGGCCTGTGGAGGACGGGGAGAATCCGTTTTTCGAGAGGCTTGTTGACGAGGACGACGAGGGGGATGGCGGTTTGGGCGAGTCGGACGACTAAGTGTTTCGGCTCCGCTGCCGGGCGTACACTACTTAAGTAGGGAGGAGGATGTTGCCATTTCGGCTTCGTGGCCTACTGTATTTGTTTGGCGCTGTCTGTCTTGGAAAGAGGCTGGTCCGAGTACATACCAGGGTTGTTCAGACGGCTCTGGTGGGATCATATACATACATCACTTGGGACATTCTCGGACTCGACTTTCCTCGGCTCTTCAAAGATACGTGGCGGGTGCAATCAGAGGAAGCAAAAAAGGCAACTTGGCATGTTATACTCGCACCAATACTGATGCCACTATACAATTTAGAAACTACACTCGGCCCATGGTCCAAATAACACAGTCTCCCCGACCAAGGAAATTCCCCCGTCCACGAAAACACGCCACAAGTTGGCACCGTCGTTCAAAGGGCCCCCCCTTCAATCAACCCATCAGTCGGTATCGTGCTCGTGAAACACCAAGGCCCGCACCTCGATGCTCTCCCTGGCAGGCGCGTCCTCCCGCGCGGCGGCATCCTCAAACGCCGTGTGCGGGACCCTCCTCGCCCTCCCGTCCGTCTTGCTGTCGAAGCACTTGATCAGCAGCACCTGGCCGGGCTCGAGGCCCGACCTGTAGAACCACCTGTGTCCGGGGCTGTGCCGGACGGCGTACGTCTCCCCCCGCCTGTTGGGGTAAATCAGCTCCGTGACGACGAGGTCCGCGTCCGAGACGGAGGCGGCCTCAGCGACGGCCAGCGGGTCGCGCTCGATCGGGCGGATGGGCCGCCAGACGTTGATGATTTGCACGCGGCCCCGGAGCAGGCGCTCCGCCTCGCCGGGGAGGTGGTGCGGCACCCGGGACAGGGCCGCCGAGTACGACTGGTCGATGTGGACGCGCTGCACGGGGCCGCGGAGGGCCCGGTCGGCCGTGGCGCCCGGCGGCTGCCGGCGGATGGTGTGGTCGAAGATGAAGACTTTGCTGGCTCCTGTTCTGTGGACGGGGGTTAGCTCTGCGGGCGAATAGGGGGGGCTAGGTGAGCGTACACGTCTTTGAGGAGCTGCTCCGTCTCGGGGTAGTAGCTGCTCTTGATCTGGTCGTCGTCTGCAAAGGCCTTTTCGGTGGCGACGTGGCTGTGGACCTGGAACCCGTTGCGGTCGAGCGTGTAGTTGGCTTCCTCGCCGGCAATGTCCCTGACGGTGACTTGGTGCGGCTCAAAGGGCCGCTCGAACGTCTCGGCGCGGCCGGCGTAGCTCGGGTGAGGCGGTGAGGCGTCCTCGTTGTCCTTGTGGTACTTGAGGGTGGTTGTCACGTCGTGCTTGGGGACGGAGCGCTCCCGTGTCCGTTGGAGGACTTGGGGCGTGGTGTTGGTGCTGGGCACGAGGGGGGTTTGTACAGCTGCCGCGGCCATGCTGGTGGTGCAGGTATTGTTACTGGATGGAGAGTTTTGTCTTATATCTCGGATGAGATGGTGTTATACTTGGACCGGGGACGTGGGTTATTTCACATGGTGGAGTGATGTTTTCGTTTTGGGGAGGGGAGAGGAGGGAGGTTTGTTTATATAGGGGTCCAGGGGCCATGATGTTAGCACGCAATCCTGCGCCGCGGTGTTATTCACGCCGGGATTCATAATCACGGCCGGTGGAAACAGGCGGTTCGGGCATTCCCCAAAGGGCGGAGGATCGGTTCGTGCTGATGGCGGCTAGGCGGAGCGCAGGATGATTTCAAATCCGTGCGGAGTAGGCGGCATGGTTACAGATCGCGTCACTCGTGGCCAATCACTGTTATGCCGATTCGAGAATCGGGTGGGTAGTCCACGGAGTGATGTACATAGTAGTGGTTTTGTTTGGGTGGTGGGAAGCAAAATACTCGATCTGGTGATGGGATACTCTGGGGTCTGGACGTGTTGTACTTGCAAGTGCTTTGTATATATTCGATTCATTTATAGCAAATTGCTTCTACTGCCGCTTCTCGTCTAGCTCGTACAATTCCTCATTTACGTTTATGAACTAGTTTTGTAACCGATGTCCCGTCCGCAAGTATTGTTGTCTCCTCTTCCAATCTATATCCCCTCCATCTGGGAACAGCAACCGTCCAAACATACCAATAC